GAGCTTTAGGTAAAATTATCATTTTTTGGAGCTCATACCTTTCTTTTAAGTTAATCTACAATTCTAGTGGATCTTTTACTGTAAGGTATGTAGCTTTTAGCCTTTCTTGAAGATGATGATGAAGGAATATCATTGCTTTGGCCTTATCTTGACTACTTGCTTGATTTCCAAGTAAAATTGCATTTCCTAAACCTTTGGCATCTGCGTGAATTTCAGCATCTAGCACTCATGATGGATAATTCTTTACCATAATATCAAGAGCCGTAAATTTAAGTTTGGTAAGATTTGCCATGATTCAAATTAAAATAATAATTGCAATTCAAATTATGACAAAATTAATAAATAAAGCATAATAAATAAATATTATAGTAAAAAAAATATTTCACACACACATGCTAAAATATAATTTATAATAAAACACAATAGAAAGAGGCACAATATAAAGAAACACAAATATAAATAACCAAACTTAATAAACAAATAAAGCATAATAAAGATAAATAAATGTAATAAAGCAAATAAATTGATGGATAAAGTAAATAATTCATATGATATTAACAAATAAAACAAATTATATTAACAACATAAATTGATCAATGCACACACCCATAAACAAACACAAAATGTATAATATGTATATATAGTATTAATTTAATGGAGGACAAAAATAAAAAATAAAAAAAATAAATAAATAAATAATAAAGTCATCATCATCGTTATCATCATCATCATCTAAGTATATCAATCTTCATAAAATATATAGCAACAAATAATAAAAATAAGGCAATGGATGGTAAATGAGACTTGATTAAATTAAATCATTAATCACATGATTATTTTCAAATGAATAAAATGGAGAAATTTAAAATTACTTTATAACTAAGAAAATGAAATGATAGGAAAATAAAACAATAAAATATAAGAACAACATAATCATGAATGCTAATAAAACAATAATATACAATATATATATATATATATATATAATATAAGAACACATTAATCTAACTAAAAGCTCATACCTTATTTTTTGAGCCAATTCGTGTTGATAACGTGTTGTGAAATTTAGTTAATATGAAGAGTAGAGAAAGACAAGACAATACTCTATGGAGAGAAAACAATAGAAGATAATTCTTATTCACTAGTATATATATGCTTTAGACATGACTTCTATTCATAGGTCTCCAACCATTCAAGTTCTATCCTAATATTACAAAGATATACTAAGGTATATAATGGTGTATTATTTAACATTTGAAGGTTATAATCTATTAAGACTAAGAAAATCCTTCCGTCTCATTTATGAGAACATTAAGGATGGAAGAATCTAAAGGACTATAAGCTATGGACATCCATAACATGATATTTATAATAATACTTGTTATTTTGAATGAATGGATTAATTATGATTCTTAAAACACTTATATTTTGAGGAATATTTAATTCCTGCCACACAATGACATCTTTCATCAACTTCATTGGATAATGTCCACACTCTCATCCTTCTTATTTTTAGGTACCAATAAAAACAAAATAGGAAATCAATGTCCAAATATATTTAATTCATCTAACATATACAAAAATGCAGTGATTATATATTTAATTTTGCAAAAATCAGGTAGAGTCTCTCCTAGAAATTGAATATCTAACAAATTCTACAATAGATCGAAACAACATTTTCATAACAACAAATTTAAAATTGTTAAATATTTTGTTTGATGATAACAAAACTAGAGTAAGCTTTTATTTGGGTGCGTATTATAAAATTAACTATGACAAAATCAATCAAAGAAAGCAAAGGGTCAACATCAAGAGGAACTTGGTTTATAGGTTTTATTGTTTATGTTTTTCTGTAAGATCATTTGTTATAAACGTTGAAATATGAGAGCTTGCTTTTGCATGTTACGGCAAAAAAATTTTGGGAGGCAAGTCTTTGGCTCACACGCACACTCATGGGTTTAGAACTTAGAAAATATCCTTGTGCATTTAATGATCTTAACCTCTTCCTCTCAAGGGACTCTCTTGCCCACACGAGTTTTAGCTAAATGCCTTAGATAGCTCTTTGAATGTTACATTTCATACTACAAGTTTCCAAGTGTTCCCTCAAGAGTTTTAGAGTTCCAGAACACTTTTAGTTCTATGATGCTCATCCACTTGAGTTTAAGTCTCTAACACGTGAGGATTAGAGCTACAGAGAAGAAGGAACTTCTGAGGTATTCGAACTCGCAAAGTCATGATTAGTGGCTACACGAATTTTTTTCAAAAGAGAACTTGGTTTTGGGCACTCAAAACACGAGAGCTTTAGGACCCACATGTGTTTAAGTGTATCAGTGTTAACTAAGGCGCTAAACTTATTTTGCTCATGAGGTCGAAGTTCCCTCATGAGTTATGAGTTCTTATTTGCAACTTGGGCTCCTGAACCTCCTCATCCTTGCAATGGCTAATCTGATCAATGTAAGATCTAGTTTATTATTCAAGATTGCCTAAGTTTGATTCTTGAAAACTAGTGAAGCATCACACAGATTCATGATATCATCATTTTGTAACCATTGATAATTTTAATCTAACAGCATTGCCTATACACTCCCAGCAAACACAAACACATTTAATAATTCTTTCCAATTCTCTTACTTTTGTACTTATCATGATCTAATTAGATATTATGAATCTAAGATCTAAAAGATTGCATCTAGTTCTAAAAGGTACCACTAATTAAGTTACTACAAATCTTGAAATTAAAATAAATGTAATATAGGTATACTAATTTCACCGACTTCAAATTCATATAAAAACAGTTTTTAATTATATTACGGTATGGTATGGAAAATGATGAGAAAAAAGAAAAGAAAAGAAGAGGAAGTAATTAATAAAAATCCAAAAAATCATGAAAAGAAAAAAGCGCTCACCAACTGCAGGAAACGGAAAATCCTGTCACATGTTGAATGTGTGCTCATATACATCCAATTGAAGTAAGCATTTATCCCAGATGGTTGGTGCTTTGTATGTAAGTTCCACCCAAAATATGAGTCTTTTAGTAATAATATCACCTGCCTTTCTTTCTTTTGTTGTCTTATTTTTCTTCTTGTCTTAATTTCATCAATTCTTTTCCTGTAGTGAGATTCTCATGAGATGATGAGAGGGAAACACAACCAAACTAGTTGGGGCAAAAAGAGAGTATAAATATAAAATTTGAATATGTTAATTTTTTTGAAACTACCAAGATGATATACACTTTATCATTGAAAGATGGCAAGCGGTAAATGGAAAGAGAGTCACTATTTGCAGAATGAACATTCTACCAACCCCTTAGAATTTGTATATTTGGAAAACCACCTTAATTACTGTGTATTCCACCAGCCCTTGGAATTTAATACTTTTCTTGTGCCTAAAAGAAATAAATACATTTAAACAAAGAATTGCATATCTAACTAGTGCATTGTATAGAGTTTGAGAAATGAACCACATATTTATGACTCATAAATTGTAAGATTATAAGAGATTTTATATTATCCGTGAAAGATTATATATATTAGTTAGCCTAACAAAGAATGTTATATTTATTTTCAATGATGAAGAACATTTTATTTTTTAACCATCTTTAATATAATGATACACAAACAAATAACATTGCTTTTAAAATATACCATATTTTTTGAATCAAAATAACCTTAATTGGTTATATAGTTTCACAAAAAAATTTTTTTTTTAAAAAAGTAGATCAGCATCAAATTTTAATACAGTAACATTTTTTAATTAATGATAGTTATGTGGAATTTAACGCAAAATTTAAGTGATATAATTTTTATAATCTAATTCTGTCTACATTTATAAGAATGCAGATTCTTATGTCATCTTTTTTACATAACATTAATCAAATCGTAACAAGGACAACGAATCAAGTAACAATTTATGATTTAAATAACATATTCATTTAACTTCTAAATTCTCTATTAAACTAAATAAACGTATACTTCTATTCTAGCTAGTTTTTTTTTTTTAAAATCTTGTATATAGTACATTTAATTCTAAAACATTTTTGAGTTACAAAATAAATTTTGAAAGTAAATAGAATATGTTTTGAACACGAATAACATAACAAAAAGTGAAAAACCACTAGAAAATCATGAGAAGGAAAAGAAAAATAATAAAAGAAAAGGACTCTTGAAAAAAAAAAAATCAAACTACTTGTTTAAGAAAGTAATGAAAGAATAAAAAATGAACGCTAACTATACAAGCAGTGACGAGAATTTTGCAGTACGACAGATATGCACGCAACCCCTAATATTGTACCCAACTAGGGTTGGACTATATTGCTTAAATCCCAGCTTATAAATAGCATTCTCAGATACCCAAAGCAACAGAAAAAAAAAAATGAAAGCAAATTGAAGGGGGGGGGGGAGTCTTGGCATTGAATTAAAGAAAGGGTCATTGAGATAAAGCACTATTAGAAAGGCTTCCCAGTGGAATTGGGAAATTTTGTCAATATATCTATGTCATTTGTGAGTTTTTTTTTTTTCCTATGCTAAGTCTCATTTTATTTTTATGGTTGTTTTATCATTCATTAATTTTTGTTGAGCTTTTTCTATTCTGATTTTGATTTCTTCAAATTTAAAATCGGGAAAATAGAGAGGGAAGGAATTTAGAATTGTTGGAAATACAAACGATATGCGATAACCACTTGATGACTTTTTACAAAAATAGCTCTTTACACCTAGTTTTTGTACCGAATAAAAAGGAACTGGTGAAAAAAAAAAAATTGTGCAGTGGCGTTTTTATTAATAGGTTAAAGTTTTAGAGATATTTTACCCTAATTGTAATTATGACCAGTGTAAAAAGTATGATCATGGCATTTTGGTAAATAAGCCAAACTATTGATAGACTTCATACCCGGTTACAATTTTAACTAGTGTATAAATTAGTTTTCCCTTATTTTTCAATCAAAGCTTTTTCCTCTTACCACTCTTTAATTTGAGATCTCTCACGGCACCATCATTATTTTCTTCTTTTACTCTCAATCTTACCTTCACGTCTGATATGGGTCTAGCCAGTAGTTCTTGTACGATATGGCCATCATGTTCAATCTCGATCGCGCAATTGGTTTTTGTCATTTTCCTTTATCTTCGATCTCAATTTCACCATCGGTGATTGACAAAAAGAGATCTGTGGGAGCAAAAGGGAGAGAAGGAATAGGAAAAAGTAAGATTTGTCAAAAAGATGTCTAGAAATTTTACAATCATCAATAATCAAAAGGTTTCTTAATCCTTAATCATTACTTGTGAGTATATCCTCCACTTCTTCACATTCTCTTTCAATTCCATCAATTTTTGAATTTTAGGGCTCGCCACTCTCTGTGTGTGCGTGTATACTAAGAAATTGAAAGTTAGCATGACTTTCAGTATCTTCTTCACATATGCTATAGGGCTTCTAGTTCAACTTTTGGTGGCATGACTAAGTAGTAATTGGGAAGCATTTGGCTAAACTTTACAAGGAGGAGTATCCAACTTGGTTTAGGATTAATATAGGAACAAGGTAAGTCAACATCTCTTCTTTCTTTGACTAGATTTTTGCCTGCTTTTCATTTTTGCCTTGCAACTGTTAAGAAGTTTAAACACGGTGTTTTTGAGAAAACTAGATTTCACAAACCAAGATATCCTTCTTTATGCAATTCTTGGATAGAAAATTCGTTCAGTGGCATTTTGTAAATAATTTAAAGTTTTATAGATTTTTCTACCCTAATTGTATTTATAACCAATGTAAAAATTATGACTGGTAGTATTTTAGTAAATAAGGTAAACTTTAGATGCACTTCATAAGTCGGTTATAATTTTAACCAATGTATAAATTTGTTTTCCTTCATTTTTCAATTTAGGCTTTTCCCCTTTATCTCTGTTTAATTTGAGATCTCTCCGGCAGCATCATTGTCTTCTTTCATCATGCTCAATCTTAACTTCATGTTTGATATGGATCTAGACAGTAGTTCTTCTTGTACGATCTGGCCATCATGTTCAATCTTGATCGCGCCATTGGTTTTTATCATTTTCCTTCACGGTCGACCTCAATTTTGCAATTGATGATTGAGGAAAAGAGATCTATGGATGCAAAAGGGAGAGAAGGAATAGGGCAAAGTAAGATTTATGAAAAAGATGTCCAGAAACTTTACAACCATCTATAATCAAAAGGTTTCTTAATCCTTACTTGTGAGTATATCTTCCAATTCTTCACATTTTCTTTCAATTCCATCACTTTTTGAGTTTTAGGGCTCACCACTATCTATGTGTGTGTGCATGCTAAGAAATTAAAAGTTAGCATGACTTCCACTGTCTTCTTCAGAAACTCTACCGGGCTTCTAGTTCAACGTTTGGTGGCATGACTAAGAGTAGTGATTGGGAAGCGTATGGCTAAACTCTACAAGGAGGAGTATCCAACTTGGGTAAGGATTAATATAGGAAAAAGGTAACTCAACATCTCTTCTTTCTCTGGCTATATTTTTGCTTGTTTTTCTACTGGTAAGGAATTTAAACATAGTGTTTTTGAGAAAACTAGATTTCACAAACCAACATACCCTTCTGTCTGTAATTCTTCGTTAGAAAGTCTTTTCAATGGCATTTTTTTAAACAAGATAAATTTGTAGAGATTCTTTTACCCTAATTGTAATTGTAACTAGTGTCAAAAGTATGATTGGTGGCATCTTGATAAATAAGCTAAACTTTTGATAGACTTCATACCCAAATTATAATTTTAACTAATGTATAAATTAGTTTTCCCTGATTTTTCAATTAAGGCTTTTGCCCTTTACCTCTCTTTAATTTGAGATCTCTCACAGTAGTGTCATTGTCATCTTTCATCACTCTCTCTCTTAACTTCTATGTTTGATATGGATCTAGCCAGTAGTTCTTCTTGTATGATCTAGCCATCATGTTCAATCTCGATCTCGCCATTGGTTTTTATCATTTTCCATCAAGGTTGACCTCAATTTCACCACTGGTGATTGACGACAAGAGATCTATGGATGCGAAAGGGAGAGAAGGAATAGGACAAAGGAAGTTTTTTAAAAAAGATGTCCGTAAACTCTAGAGCCATCAATAATAAAAAAGGTTTCTTAATTCTTACTTAGCTTGTGAGTATATCTTCTAGTTCTTCACATTCTCTTTCAATTCCATGACTTTTTGAGTTTTAGGGCTCACATTGTGTGTGTGTGTGTGTGTGTGTATAAATATATATGCTAATAATTAATAGTTAGCATGACTTCCACTGACTTCTTTAATATGGTACGAGGCTTCTGGTTGAACTTTTGGCAACGCGACTAAGAGTAGTTATAGGGAAGCATCTAACTAAACTCTACAAGGAAGAGTATCCAACTTGGATGAGGATTAATATAAGAACAAGGTAACACAGGATCTCTTCATTCTCTGGCTAGATTTTTGCTTTTCTTTCTTTTTGGCCCTGCAATTAGTAAGGAGTTTGAACACATTGTTTTTAAGAGAACTAGATTTCGCAAACCAAGAGATGCCCTTCTTTCTGCAATTTTGGTTTAGAAGATTTACAAAGAGGGGCTTGAGCACTTATTCTTGCTTTCCACTGCTTTGATATCTTTTTATGTTCTTTAATAGTCTCTCTATATTGTACCCCATTTTGGGTAATTATGGAAGCAAAAGTGTTTAATTTTGTTAATTAATATTTTTTGCTATTGTTTTGCATTTTGTCTCTCTTTCCGAAAAAACCAAGGTATTTAATGCTTTGTTGCTTTGCTTTTTATCATTGACGCTTCTCGTGGAAGTTAGATTTTAGCACAAGTGGATTGATTCTATTAAAACTTCAATGATGGTTTGCGAACTATAATAGTTCATTACTTTGATCCTTGAGTATATCATTCTCATTGAGAGTTTGTTAGATTTGGATCATAATATTTTCTATTAATCTTTCTTGTTCTTTTAACTTCATGTAATCCCCTCTTTCCAATTGTATACCTTTTGAAATTACTTGTGAAATCAAGGTCCTTAAATCATTATGACGTAGGACTTATTACATGTTTAGAGCTATGGTCAAGCATTTTTTGAGAATTCCAATCCCTTTCTAAACATAATTATTAAACCTTTTTCTTTTAAATAAAATCAGTCCCCAAAAAGAATCTTCAAAATTGTTTCATAATAACTAAACAAACAAATTGATTACCAAAAGTAATAACTTCATCGGTCTCAACACACACACACACACACACACATATTTAAGGTGTTTGTGTAAGATAAGTTAATAATATAAATTTCTTAAATAGAAATTGTTTTAAAATTCCTAGAAAATTTTGAATGATAAAAAAATATAAAAAGAATTATATTATATAAAGAAATATCACTGGTTTCTACTTCTTAAAACCACGATAGTAAATAAAAACCATTAGTCATAAATTTTGAAGCTTGATCTTTTGATAACTAAATGTAGTTAGGAAGCGCAATTTAGACCCATCATAATTTTAGACTGATATATGTTATTGATAGAAGCAATTTATGGTCAAAACATGCAATCAATGATGAAATATTGAATGCCTTCTAAGACTGCACCGTATTTTTATTGATTTTTTTGACTTTTCAAGATGGGTAGGGATATTGCTTATGATAGCTCATCATGTGACTTGCTTTGTGCAACCTCTTTACTAGATTTATACATAATTAATTTACAGGAAGCATTGTACATATAATTTTTTGTTATGAACACTTCATTTGTAGTAAGAGGACATCTTATAGAACTAGTCCAGTGTAGAAATTATTATGTGGTTCAATTTAGGGCTTGCAAATTGGACGATGATATAAATATTCAGTTGAATGATCTTCTATTTTTCCACCTTATAATTTGTTTGTCTAAAAAAATAAACGTACTGGAGATTCCTCATGTCAAATCTATAGACTTGCATTTTGGTGCGTTTTTCTTTGATTGACATCTTTGATCATTAGGGATGATTTCTCCCCACCTTTTCCTTGCAATCCCTGACTTTGAATGTAGTATATCATAGGTAATTTGTGCAAATTATTATATTCTACCCCTGCTTGTTTCCTTTAGTTAGAAAGTCATGTATTTTTTTATTTTGGTTCCTTGTATTAAGCTTTTGATGCTTTAACTTCCTTTCTAATTTAGTAATCTTCATGTTCTAGTTACTTGTGGTGGTGAAGATGGTGATGTGGAATGTTTTGAGATGTGAGAGAGATTTTCAAACTGAATTGATTCCACTAGACCATGTAGTGATGTTGACTAGGTAACGATTTCTCTTTTTTGTTGTTGCCCACACAATTTTAGAGAAAGATTAAGTGTTTCAAGGATACAATAATATGCTTTATTTTATAATTTCAAATGTGCTGATGAAAATGTTCTTTATAAGTCAAATATAGTGTTTGTATTGATAATGTTCAAGTATGCTTTTCCACCATAGTTCATTAATTCACAGACTTCCTTATTTAGATGGTTGTATGAATCAACATGATTCTAGTAAGTTTCTGATAATTCTCATTTCTTTGCTTACTTTGACATCCCTATATATTTAATTCCAAATTGCTTTTTGCAAACTCATCTTTGAAGATGTTCTTAAAGAAAGTGATCAAAATGGTGGAAACATGATATGTGATGCCAACATAATGTTATTAGATCCACTTGAAAATAGCAATGATCTGATAATGAAAAATATGGCCTTAAAGTTTTGAATGGAAATAGATTATCAAAATCTTTGATCACTTTCCCAAAAGTCACTAGTATTGAGAATTTTAGCATTGTGGTTAATGGCTTGGCACTTGACTTAGAACTACTTGATCACCTCAAGGTCAAGTACTATTAACTTTGTTGCAATCAATGAACGTGTCATTATGAGAATCTTATTGAATGTCAGAACTATTAACTAGTTGTTGGAATCATTTGGGAGACCAATAACATTGCTAATGCCATTAATAGCCTGCAAGATAGCAACGTCTTGAAAATTTTTTGGCATTTGGCATAAAAGTTTGAAAAGGTCTTGAATGGCTTGGCATTAATGTTCATTTCTTGTATGATAGGTTTGAATGGCTTATGGATCTTGAATGAGGCTCGTAAAGACTGGTCTCATTCAATATTTGCATTTGCAAGCCTCATTCATATACCAACAGCTATTCTAACCTGTCAAGAAAGAGATGAACATTCATGCCAAGCCATACAAGGCTTTTCAAACTTTTAATCTAGACACCAAAATTACTAAAAGGGTTGTAATCTTAAAGGTTTTAATGGCATCAGCAATATTAAAGGTCTCAAAAATGATTCCAACAACTTGTTGATGATTTTGATGTTCAACAAGATTCTCATAAGGAAACATTCTCTGACTGCAACAAACTTCATAATACTTGGCCTTGAGGTGATCATGTAGTTCTGAGTCAAGTACCAAGCCATTAACTACAATGCTGAAATTCTCAATAGTTGTGACTTCTTGGAAAGTGATTAAAGATTTGGATAATATGTTCCCATTCAAAACTTCAAGGCCAAAGTTTTCATCATCTAGATCGTTGTTATTTTTAGGTGGATCTGATAATAGTATGCTAGCATCCCTTATTATTTTTCCACCATTTGAATGGCTTGCTTGAGGAACATGTTCTAAGATGAGATTGCCAAAACAAATTAGGAATTAAATATATTGGAATTTCAAAATACGCAAAGAAATGAGAATCACATGAAACTTACAAGAATGGTTTTGATTCATGAAATCATATAACATGGGAGTCTGAGAATTGATAAATTTTTGTGGGAAAGCAAACTTCAACCTCATCAGCACAAACATGATATTTGACTTATTAAGAACATTTTTTCTTAGCACATTTGAAAATATAAAATAAAACATATTATTGTATCCTTGAAACATTCCACATTCCCTAAACTTGTAAGGGCAACAATAAAAGAGGGAAACTACTTTCTAGTCAACATCACCGGTTAGTCCAACGGCATCAATTCCACCAATTGAAGATCTATCTCACATATCAAAACATTCCACGAACCAAATCTCACTTGAACTCAAAGTTGTCATACCAAATCATCTCCTAGCCGTTGTCGTTCATGTCTGTTCAACTTCTATTTGAGATCATCATCCTTGCATAAAGATGACCTCCTTCTCCTTTAGAATCAATTCCTTATATATGTAGGAGTCTCATATATATCATCTGAATCCCAGCTTTGCCATGGGTTGCAAGTTCTTTTAGGATATCAAAAATGGTACCCTTTACATGTAAGAAAGTTCTTTCATCTTAGAGACTTTGAACTGCATCGTTCACATCATTTTTTCTTTTTTGATTATGTTTGCATAACTTAGCGGATTTTACAACCAAAAAAAAAAAATTCCGAGCACAAATTTTCAATCATTTTATTCTCGGAATTATAATCTTTGAATTATTTTTCATCCCACACAGGATTTCAGCTTTTCAATTAAATGAATTCCAAAAAAAAATACTTAAATTAGAACTAACTTCTTTGCTTAAAATATCTAGATGAAATCGATTGTATCCTAGTACTTTAGTGCTTTTCTAGAGGCAGAAATGGTGCATAAGATGTTTGATGAAATGCTTGGCACAAAACTCATATTATTGCTGTTCTTTTCCTTTGACTTCAAACAGTTTGGTAAAAAGGATTTCAACTAGAGAAGTTAATATCTGAATGAAATACTAGGGAAAGACAATCGGAACTTCTTGAAACAAGTCTGTTATTGCTTTGATAAGAATGGTATGCAAGCTACACTGCCTTTGAATTTTATGATTCTTGATTCAATCAAATCTTTCTCATATCAACTCAATAAAGTCTTTTTTTTTTAATTTTTATGTTTAAATTTTCTTCCTTTTTTTCCTATGCTCCACGTTGCTAATTTCATTTCATTTTTTCCTTTGAAAGTTGGCTTGAAATCTTTTATTATTGAAAAACTATAATCATTGCCTATATTAAATTTCTAATATAGAAATAATTAAATAACTTCATCGAGCATGGCATGGATGAAATTTTAGCTAATAAGAAAAAGTTTAATGTATATCTCATTAAATACTATGTGTATGTAGCTTTTAAGTTCAGTATATTATTATTATAATCCATATTCAGGTTTTTTTGATGATAAAGATCATTTGCAGGCAGTGACGAACCCAGAAAAAATAATCAGTAGTGGGAGAAATTTTTTTACTTAAAATAAATATTAATATTTTTTAAATATAATTTTTAACATTTTAAAATTATATTAAAAATAAAATTTGTTAACATTTCAAAAAAATAAAATTATAATAATGTAAAAAGAATAATGTCTTTATATAATTAAAATTTTTATAAATATTATAAAATAACACTGTCTTCATCTTTATTATTTTTAAAATAAAATATATCTGCTTTACTTTATAGATTATACAAATTTTTTTATTTTTACAATTAGAAAAATTTATTTTTTAAATTATTGTTCCATCAATACTAAAACTATTTTTTTTAAAGTTATTATATATATATATATATATATCCGAGTAAAATGCATTTATGGAAATGAAATTTTTAAGGAGGAAAATGGTTTTTTTCTGGTGAATTGAAATTAAATTTTTAGAGTGGGCTAATTTAAAATTTTTAGGACATACTTTATAATTTTTTTTCTTATACTTTATTTGAGTATGTCCGTTCATGTTTGCGAGTAAATGGAAGTTTCATAATTTGTAGCAAAGTACTATTTTAATATTACATGAGTGAGGGTATTTTTACCATATCTATTTGGAGAAGCCACAAGCTTATGAACTAATGAGAGCACTTTCACAAATCTATCAAAGAGTTGATTCGAGAATAAATGCAGACACTTTGATGCACATAAACATGTTTTCATGTCCTCTATCTCCCAGATCTCGACAATGTTGTTGGCTTCTCGAAGGTTCTTTCACGCATTTTCTCCTCCATTCTCTTTTTATGGGCCACTTGCTGCATCTTCAACAAGGAGGAAGAAAGAAGGATAGAGGCTTGCTTTTGTGTGTGTCTATGTGCGTCGATCTCTGAGGAAGAAAAGTGATATCTTTTGTGCAAAAATGAAAATGTGAGGAGCTGATTTTTTTTAATATTTCATGCATTTTTTCATTCTTGTTACTATGCTAACTTGGAACTCAATGAAACACAATCTAGTCTTATCTAGGCTAAGTTGATTTTTGGTCCAACGATGTCAGAGACTATTTTTTCTAACCCAATACAGTTTTAGACCGGACATCGAGTTGGAGTGCAACATAGTCCAAACCCGCCTTTGCACACTCCTAGGTGTGGGTGTGTTTGGGCTTTTAGAGTAATATTAATATTAAAAGAATGTTATGGGCTCCAAATCAATCCTCTTTTTTTTTCCCCATCAAATATATAGTATACTTATATTATAAACACACACACAAACACACACACACACACACAATATTTTTATATTACAAAATAAATATTTTGTACATACCTATTTTCAGTTCATCATATTCTCTTATATGTTAATTTATTTACTATTATCATTATTCTACATTTTAAATTAAATCCTAATTTATCTAATTTTGGATAAATTTTCTTTCTTAAATTATTTTACTTATGTTCTAAACTTTTTATCATCAATAAATACTTTAATTTTATATGCCTCAAGATTTCCTTTGGAAAATTTCTATATTTAATTTATTTGCCAGTGATGGAAACCTAGGACTACGTTACAAACAACATATTATTGTATGCTGCAGAATATGAAGAACTAGAGGTGAAGAGATATGATAACGAGCAAAATTTGTTGGTCACAATTGGAGGACTACCTGAGCAATTGGCTACAATAAATGGTTGGGGATTAAACTTCAGAGCATGAGGAGATATTTTAATTTTCATTCTGTTTTGCATGGAAGGATAATTAAGGTATATTCTTGCAGACCAACTGTAACATTCCACATTTTATTTAAATGAGTTAAGGCTAAAAACTATTATTAGAGCTACTACAGAATATATCTTTAGGAGTGAGTATTTAGGAGCGCTTCTTTAAAAAGCGCTCTAAAATGTGAATGTGGAATTTACCGTAGCACTTTTTTAAATAAGATCTCCTGTATGTCAGAGTTTCTCAATAAGATAATGCTCCTAACTAATATAAATAAAATATTAAAAATTTAAAAAAAACCTTCGAGAGCACTCATAGTTAAGCGCTCCAGAAGAAACTCTTGAGGAGCACTCTTTGATGAGCGCTCCGGAAGATCAGATCTTCTAGAGCACTCATGGTTGAGTGCTCCAAAAGATCATATCTTCCAAAGTGCTCATTAATAAGCACTCCGGAAGAGTGCTAGCGGGTCTTTTTATTTTTCTATCTCCCATCAGTTTTCCTTTCCCCATTTATGAGTACCACGAGTGCTCCAAAAGATTGTATCATCCAGAGTGGTCATTAATAAGTGCTCCGGAAGAGTACTAGCAGGTCTTTTTATTTTTCTATCTCCCGTTAGTTTTCTTTTCCCCATTCATGAGTTTCTTTCAAATCTCTCTCTCATTTGCTGAGGCCGTGCATTCCCAACTTCTAGATCATCGCTATATCAGTCTACCGTCCATCATTGTTTGCTATTCTAGATCATTGTCCGCCGCTGTTCGCTATTCCAAAAAGTCATCCACCACTGTTTGCTATTCCAAAAAGTCATCCGCTGTTATTCCTTCATTTTTGTGTCATGTTGCGCCATCTATCTCTATTTCTGTGCTGCCATCACTGTCATTGCCATCTCCTGCATCGCTGTTCTAGATCAGCATTGCTGTTCCAAATCTACGCCGCTACTATACACTGGAGGAAGCGACAGCGTGAAGACCTTCCTTGTCGCCGTGCGTTGTTGCTGTACAGCGGAGGAAGCGACGCCACAAAGACCTCCATTGCTACCGTGAAGACTGCCGTTTTCCAACGTGAAGACTACACTGTGAAGGTATTTTTTTTAATAATGTAATATATTGATATATTTATATATATATTTGAGAATAAATTTCATATATATATTTTTAATAATCAATATTATAGATAATATATGAATTGAATTTATTTATATTAGAATTATGGAGTATTCGTAGTTGATAATTTAGATTAAAGTTGAGGAAACTACTTGAACATTTTTATTTTATTTGTGAAATATACTTCTAAGGGAGATTATTGTTATTAATTAAATTACAATTGATTGACAAAATTTAGATACATTATGCTACTAAATTTTTATTTGGATGAATTGATTTTTTTAGTTTAAATGTATTGTGTTGTGGAATTTGATTGTTTGATCATTTGGGAGGTTCTTCTTTTAAGGAAGATGCTGTTGAATTTTTTTTATAGAAATCTAAGTCTTTTGTTTATTGAATTTTGATAATCATATTAGTGATATGGAGTGGATGTCAGCTAATTAACTATCTAGAGAATATTAGGATAGTGTGGATGAATTCATTGAATTTGCATTTTGTCGTGATCAAAACCCCTGTGGAGTCATATGTCCTTGTTTGAAATGTTGCTATGGAAAAAGAGTAAAGCCAATAGAATTGAAAGATCATTTAATATGTAGTGGGATTGATCCAACTTAGATTTGTTGGACCATGCATGGGGAGACAAGGAATAATGCAAATGATTGGAGGGATAGTGCGAGCTACTTAACATTTGATCGTGATAGTAGGACATATGATGTTGACCGTCTTGATAAAATGATTGATATGATTGAAGAGGATCTTAGAGACTAGCCTGAGATGTTTGAGAGGTTGAAGAGTGATGTTGATAAACCATTATAACCCCGTTGTAAAAAAAATCACAAAACTATCAATTATTTTGAAACTATACAACCTAAAAGTAACGAATGGATAGAGCGATAAGAGTTTCACGAATTTGCTTAAAATCTTATATGAAATGTTACCTGAGTACAATGAGCTTCCACCTACTACTTATGAGGCTAAAAAAGTCTATTAGGATGAGTTATAAGAAGATACATGCATGTCCAAATGATTGTGTCCTCTTTCAGAAAGAGTATTCAACCTTAGATAAGTATCCAAAATGTGATGCATCATGATACAAGGGTAATGGACGTAGCCCAGCGAATGCATTGTGGTATTTTCCAATATACCAAGATTTAGACACCTATATAGCATTGCAGAAGATGCTAAACACTTAACATGGCATGTTGATGAGAGAATTAAGGATGTCAAGCTACGGCACCCTGAAGATTCTCCTCAATGGAAAAAGTTTGATCTTATGTACCCTGAGTTTAGGGTTGAAGATAAAAACTTATGCCTTGCACTAGCCACTAACGAAATGAATCCACATGGAATGCAAAGTAGTACTCATAGTACATGGCCAGTTATTTTGATGATCTACAATCTCGCTCCAGCATTATGTATGAAGTGCAAATTTATTATGCTGTCATTGTTGATTTTTGGGCCTCGACAACCCGAAATGATATAGATGTGTACTTAGCTCCTTTGATTGAAGATCTGAAGATTTTGTGGGAGATAAGTGTGGAACTTTATGATGGGTATAGAGAAGAACATTTCATCCTGCGAGCATTGTTGTTTGGTACTATAAATGACTTTCCTGCCTATGGCAATTTATCAAGATATAGTATCAAAGGACGAGATACATGTCCAGTATGTGAGGAGTACACTTGTTTAGTATGATTGGAACATTATAGGAAGAATATCTTCATTGGTCATCGATGATTTTTGCCACAAACACATCATTACCGATGACTGAAGAAGGCTTTCAATGGCCACCTAGAGAAGGGTAGAGTTCCCATGCCATTAACTGGTAAGCAGCTCTTTGAAAAGGTTAAAGATTTAAATATTGAATTTGAAAAACCATTTGCAAGTAAGATTGTTAAGAATGGTTAAAAAAAGAAGTCCATATTCCTTGAGTTACCATACTAGAAGACCCTAGATGTTAGACATTTCCTGGATGCAATGCACTTCGAAAAGAATGTTTGCGACAATCTTGTTAGCATGTTACTCCACATTTTAGGAAAGAGTAAAGACGATATTAATGCAAGGATGGATTTGATTAGCATAAGGTTAAGAGAAGAGTTGGCACCAGAGAGGAAGGGAAAATGCACTTTTTTTTTACCTCCAGCAACTCACACATTGTCTAGAAAGGAAAAATTAGCTTTATGTGAATTCTCGCATGAAGTTAAAGTGCCAGAAGAATATTCTTCAAATGTAAGTAGCCTCGTATCTATGAAAGACCTCAAACTAGTAGGTCTCATGACTCATGATTGTCATATTATCATGGAAAATTTATTGCTGGTAGGTATACGATCCATTTTAGTAAAGAAGGTACGAGCCACAATTACTAGATTTTGTTTCTTTTTCAAGGAAATTTGTAGCAAGGTGATTGACCCAGAAAAATTACCAAAGCTAGAAAATGAAATAGCTAAGATTTTAAACGAGCTCGAAATGTATTTTTCGCCTTCATTCTTTGACATCATGATTCATTTATCATTTTACTTAGTTAGAGAGATAAAGTTGTGTGGCCTTGCTTATTTGAGATGGATGTACCCAATAGAGCATTACTTGAAAGCATTAAAAGGATATGTAAAAAATTGAAGTCGGCCTGAGGGATATATTATTGAGAGGTATATCATGGAAGAAGCAGTTGAATTATACACTAGATATCTCTCTAATATGGATGCCATTGGGTTGCCAAAGTACATAAAGGACACCACAAGTAAATAGGATGGAATCATTGGGAAGAAACTCATTAGCATAAACAAGACACAATGGGAGCAAGTTCACTTATATGTTTTACACAACACTGAGAAAGTTCAACCATATATCAACTAACACAAGGCAATAGTTAAGAGTCAAAATAATAGTAAAAATGAAAATTGGCTAGCAACATATCACAATTGACATTTTATATGTCGGTTTAGAGCTCGCATCTTTGAGGAGTCTCACCCATCAGAAAGGTTGAGGTTTTTGGCTAAGGGTCCCAGATTTGAAGTATTTTCTTATACAAGTTATGTAGTTAATGACTTTATATTTTATACGAAAAGCCAAGATGCTCAGAGTACTATGCAAAATAGTGGTGTAACGCTTAAAGCTCAATCAATGCATGTCTCTAGTTTTAAAGAAAAGAACTCAATCTATGTGATGATGTCATATTTTGATATTATAGAGCATATTTGGGAATTGAATTATATCAAGTTTTGTGAACTTGTCTCTTGTTGCACATGGGTTGACAATAAAAATGGCTTTCAAATTGATAAGTTAGGTTTTATTCAAGTAGATCTTAATAAAGTGGCTCATAAAAATGAACCATTCATTTTGGCATCACAAGCTCGACAAGTGTTTTATGTGTCAGATCTAGCACATAAAAAGTAGTTGATTATTCTTTTAACAAATAAAATAGTAGGTAATGAAGAGGATGAAGATTTCAATATTAAGGATGACCTTTTCATAGGAACATCATAGACATTTGATGTTTCAATTAGGGATAATGCCTTCTATATTAGAGAAGATCATGTGAAAGGGATTTGGATTGATGAGGGATATGTAGAACACATAAAAGGAAAAACAAAAAAAAAAGAAAAAACAAATTTTAACACTTGTAAGTTCTTTATTTAAATTTCCTTTTAGTTGTTAAATTACTTTTAGTTGTTAAAATTTTTTTTTTTGTTGCTAAAAATTTACCTTTTTTTCTTTTAAGTATATGGCTACCCCACTTGAGAGTGGTGAAGCTCCACCCATTGAAGAAGAAGCATTTAAGGAGGTTAAATAGGGTAAAACTGTTATGAAAGCAGTGACACAAGCTCGAGTAGCTAGTTGTAAATTACCAATAAATTGGAATGATAGGGGCCAATTAGTTAAGTCTCCTCAGTTGGTCAGTTACATAGGGGTCTTAGCTCGTCATTATGTTTCCTGTTGCATTACAAACTGGAGAAAGAAAAATGACCTACCGCTTGAAGAAGGAAAAGATAATATATGGGAAGATCTGTACATATCTTTTGACCTAGATGAGAGTCATAAGCATTACATTATGAGAAAAGCAGTATATGCTCATAGAAAGTTTCGAGCTACTCTCACAA